AGGAGGGTGCCCAGGTGACTCTGAATATCCCACGCAGACACTCACACATGATCCGCAGCACGAGGCGTAAATGGATGAAATGAAGCGACGGAACAGCCCACACACAGGCTGCGCAGCCGGGTGAGCTCTGCAGCAGAGCCGGGGGAGGCCAGTGGGTGTTGGAGGCGACTGGAGGGTCAGCTTGACTCTTTGGGTCAGAGGGACACTGAGTTACACTGTCAGCATGGATGCTGAATAGACAGACGATGAGAGGGAAAGAGGGTGGAGAGTACCACGGATGGATGGATGGGTGGATGAGATGCTTTTTAATTACTTTATCTACATATAAAAGAACAGTCAACTTAATTTTTCATTTTTTCGAAAGCTCCTGAGTGAAAGAACTCTTTCCGTTCAAATGTCTGGGTTTGTAAATTTTTGCTGTTAAGAATAGACAAATACGAATCTATAAAGAGAGAGCAGGAGTGCATTAGCAGTAGTGGACAGTCAGCAGTTTGAGGGGACGTTTGGTAAAGCCCAGCTCTATTGTCTGCTGGTACGGAGGGCTTTATCTGTAAACCAGTAGGGCCTTGTTTCTGGGCTTAGAGGGGCTGGACTCTGGATGTTGTTCAGACAAAATGACTGCAAACTCACCACAAGGACGGCAGCTAGACGAAGTATTCATTGGTGATAACTTGGATCTAAATTTCTATACAAACCCAAGAATTCAGCTGTTTTGGCATTGCCTTTTTTTAAAATTAGATCGGAATAAATTTTTTTTTATAGCAAGGGTTTAGTTTCAGGCTATTATTGTTGTTTTTTAATCGCATATTTGTACTTTTTCTGCAAAAAAAAAAAAAATGTCACCTCTCCTCAGGTCAAACATGGCATCCTTCAGCACAGACGGGGCGTTTCTGTATCATTCAGGGCAAACAGGCTGAAACACCAAAAATATTTGATAAGCTGTTTGAAAAATGTTATCATGAATTGAGACTTTAATCTGATTTAGCAATAAGTGATATTTTATTTAAGTATGTGAGACAATTTCTTTATATTTTGATACCTGAGCTATTTAAGGAGCTTACAAATCATATTCCATTTATCTCCCTTCCTGACAGGAGCAACGTCTCGGACATGGAAGGACAATTCTAGAGACGAGGACTTTTTCATATGTGGTCATCTAATGACATGTTATAGGAGAGCTGGTTTCTCACCTCAGCCAACCAAGCTGTGCACCATGTATAGCTCCTTCATCTAGACCTTATTGGGTTGTATTAATAATTGCCGATGTGTTTCTAATGATTCAAGCTCCACACAGCTGCCCTCCGTCTGACCTCGCTCTCAGCGTGGAACCTGTTGTGTTTCTATGAACTATCTGACAGCTTGAGGTGTGTTTGAAACCCCGACTGTCAGCACTGTGTTCCGTTCTTCACAACAGTGCAAACAAAATGCATTTTCCCCGCTAACACCTTCCCATGTCTTGTCCAGCTAGAGCTGAATATCGCAGTTTCCTATGATACACAGCAAAGTCTGCACCTCAGCTGAACTTGATGCTTGTTTTGAGGATTCCGCTGTTGACCTCTGGTGTTGCAATGTTGGAAAATGGCTGCTGTTCTTCTGCTCACCAACCCATACAGGCGTTCTATCCAATGGCCAATTAGTAAACAACAATCTGTCCGTTAGCTACAACGGGACATGCTGCTGAACTCGCTCTCAATTGCCTACTCCATTCACCAGGGATTTGTTTCGCAAAGTGAGGTTAACATTCTCTGAGCAGAGAGTAAATATCTATGTAGACATATTTGACTGTGTGGGTGTGTCCCAAGTTCCCAATTTAAGGGTTGCATCTTCCGAAGGCTGTTATGTTATATTTTAACTAGCTTTCTATTTTTCCATTATTATAAAGTTTGGTGCACCAGCTCTCTGTTACAATTTATTTTTAATAATCTTACTTTATATTATTACATGTTTATTTTTTTGTTTTTGTTTGTCTCATGTACTGATCAATCAAATTGCCCCTGTTGAGGTTAATAAAGTTATCTAAGTTATGCTGGGTCTACCAAGAAATATTGTCATTTCAAAAATGATCTGACATACTTTCAGTTTTCCAATCTTGCGTAGTAGCTGGCTTGGCTACATAGTCACACCCTATATCATACCCAGGGTTATCCGTCAAAGAAGAGCTGGTAACAGTGGGTTACTAAACTCTGCATCCTATTTGACCCAAGTTAAGCATAAACATTCAGGAAGTCTCAGAGTTTCTAGTGACGTAGACTGATAGCCTGGCCGGGAGGCTACCAGTGTCCTTTGTTAGGCCTCGTGGTTCATCCAGTCCATAAGATCTCTGGTTCCACATTCTCCTTGAACAGAGTTTGAGGACCGTGGTCACTCAGCATTCAGGGACAGACATCTAGGTATCCTCTGGTTCAAGGCCTCTCAATTAGATCGCCCTTCCTCAATGTGTCTGCCTTTGGAGCTTCCACAGGCAAAAGTGGTGGGTGGGGCTGGTCTTAAGTCTTTGTAGCAAGCTCAGCAGAAAGTGTCAGGATGTCATTTAAAGCTCCATCCTTTGGGAGCGCCTTGTATTGGGGAAAATTGGGAATCTGGAAAGCAAACCTGCATCATGTTCCTCCAATGTTCCAAATTATCATCACGGCTGAGGCTCAATCATAGTAAGATGTGACTGAAGTTCCCAAAAAGTGTATGATCTTATTTGTTGAATACACTTATTGAAATAAAGTATTAAATAATCTATTTTAATGACAGGCAATCAAAACCTATGAATTAAAGACTGATTATCATTTGTTGTGAATTGACTTGTAAATCAGAAGTTATAATGAAATGTTGGAACTCTAACTGTTTGTCCATCTCTCATGTCAAAGGTGGGGTACACGTCGTAATCTGGAACAATTTGTTCAAAACAGGAGAATTTTCACCTGTAATTGCAGCTAAGTTATGCAGAATCACACATGCACCAGTTATCATTAAACAAAACTAGATCTTACAGTATTTATCCCTAAAGGATCACTTGGATCACTTAAATAACTTTGTGATACTAATATTTTTTTTACTCTCTGCTTTCTCTTTAAGCTTTTCACAGAATTTAAAAGTTGCTTTTCGCTCAGTTTAATAAGAAGATGACAGAGAATTTATGTGGATTCATTAAACCTCAGGGTGACAAACAGTGTTGGTTCTCTATGTGAAGCACCGTCTCTGTGCAATAAGCCTCAGATAATCCGAACAAAGTGCAGAGTAGCTGAGTCATTGAGGACTGAGTCAGCATGTGAACACACTAAAATGTGCGCACACTTTTCATTTTTGCAGAGCTGAAACCCTGAGAATCCTGTGGGTTTGACAGAAAAATGACTCAGATGGATCAAGCAGGGTTTCTTCTCATCATTCCCACTCACAGCTCAGGTACTAAAGCTAAACCGTCTCATTTTAAGCTCCTTCTTTTCCAGCACGAGGTTTTAGCCATTAATCCTTTTTTATATTTCTTTGGCTGTTAGGAGCAGCAGCACAGATAAACACCATGTCAATTAAAGGCTATTTGCATTTTTGGTTTCCTAGTGGTGTATTATCTAAGTAATGGCAAGGAGTTAAGATTTATTTTATAGGCATGTGAGTTTTCACAACAAGCAGCTGTTTATTTTAATTCAGTTTATTTTAAAACAGTTTTTACCAGATTGATAATACCTAAAAGGTTCAAGTCCTTCATGATAAAGGCTGCTGGAACACAGTGAACCCTCCAAAGAGATTTTCTGTCACTGCCTATTAAGAGGTTGGCTATTAAAGAAAACAAACCCCCTGCTCTGAAAGAAATACTTTAAAGTTAGCCTAAAATTTGCAGAATTTTCTGATAGAAAAGCCTAATTCGCTCTAAAGAAATGTTCAGTGGATTCGGACACAGTAATGTGTTTAGAGGAGTTAGGATGGAAGTCTTGAGAGCTAAACACAGCACACGCATGGTGGTGGTAGAATCATGCTTTGGGGTCATTTCACTGAGAGTGAATTGCACATTGAGTCCTCAAATTTCCTTCAAATCAACAGCTTTGTAACAATGTTATGCATAAATAAAGGCGTGCTTCCAGTTTGCACGCCATAATGTTCAACAACAACCCTGAAGACAATTAGACAAAACGTCACCTTTTCAGTGGGAATTGTTAGGATAATTATCATTGGTGATGTGTGAGTTTTCATACACCTTAATATTAGCTGCCTGTTGTTTGTCAGAACTGATGTTTTCCTCAATAGTTTATTTAATTAAGACAGTTCCTGTGTCCGGATATACAGTTATAATCTTCATTCTGTATGTGGCAAAGATTTGGAAATGGAATAAGAACGGTGTCCTTCAGCTAAGAACAAAGTTTAACATTTTGATAAGGCTGGAGCCATGGATGTCTACTCATCTGCTAACGTGTATGATGTAAAATATGATGATGTGGCAGACTGGAGATGTATAAAATGCCTTTTTAACTGTTAATCTGGGCCACTTCCTGAGAGGTGAGCCCAGAGGTGAGCAGCTATCTTCTGTAGACTCTGAGCAACTTCTCTGATCTGAATAAGATTACATTTTCTATCAGAATCTGAAAGAAGAAAGAAGCATGTGCTGCTTGTTTTGAAACTGTACATTTTACCATCAGTATCATCATAATAAATATCAGTAATATGAAGAAGAGAAGCTCTAAAAGGTGGGACCATCTTGTAGCTGCTTTCTAAATCATATGTTGTCTGGTTGAAATGAAAAGAGCTTTCATAGTTCATGTGGCCCACAAACATTTTGATTAAATAAAGACCTTCCTTTCAGTGGTTTAATCCTCAATATAACATTTAGGTGAACTTCATTTTTCTTCCGTTTTTTGAGGCTTTAAGTCCAACATCACATTTTGCACAAACCGAAAGCCCAACACTGTGCGGTTTTCACAGGTTTATTCTTAATTGACAGGTTTATTGTCAGCTGACTCTGCAAGGAAAGCTGTATGCTGATGAGAATACATGCATATCAACAAACTAAATAACAACAAGACACAAAAAGAAAAGGGATCAAACTTAAATTTATTTCTAATGTGCAAAAATGAATTTTTATGAAAAACGGCAGGAGTTTGCAGGAGATTTGACACAACAGAAAAAGTTTGAAGTGGATTTCCGATGCTGTGGTTCTTCTCTTGGCTAAGGCTGATGCTCCTGATACCTTGGGCAGAGAAGACAGAGAAGCTTTCAGTTATTCAACAGGATTTCAGGAGCATTTAGATTGTCCAATATTCACTTAAAAAGACTAAAGGACTCCCTTTGGAAAATAATGTCTCCTAGGTGTGTTTAACCCTGCTTTAGTTATTCTTCAATGTTCTCTGAACTACAAGGCTATTGTTTATTCTAAGTTTTCTTTTATCTTAATTGAATGTGATAAAAATAAATTTTGCTTCATATTATATAAAATTATAAACAAAATGATTCAACCTTCAGATATGAGTCATTTCAGACTGTTAAGTTACTGATAGACAAATCAAATTCATTAAATACTTAGATGGCTGTTTTTTGTTTTTTTTTGTCTCTAATTTTTTAAACATTAATGAATTAGATTAAAACCTGAATGTCCCATTCAGCTCAGTTTTTCAGACAGTTGTGGTGGAGCTTTTTTGACCTCCAAACATCTGGCAGGAACGAGCATGAACTGACCAGGTTCAGGAGGAGGAGTCCACTGTTTACTGTTTGCACCCTCGTCACCACGCCTATCCACTGGGAGAATAGATGGGTAATTAAAGTGCAGAGAGATTATATTAAAGGCAAAAGTGAATCTCTTCATCGTTTCCATCTTTTAAATAATCTTAAAAAGTCAAAACTATACATTTTGTTAACTCGCAGATAAGAAACCTCTTTAATGTTTCTGACATTAGATTTTGACCTATTTGAACCTATAGTTTTACTATTTGAATATTTTTTATATAGCTAATGTTAAGCAAATTTTTTTTTTTTAATAAAACACTTTGAAATCTATTTGAAACTTAGGCTTTGCTGCATTTTTCAAACTTGTTCTTTTCTCTGATGTGGTCATCATAAAACTGAAAATTGTTCCTAGAGACATTTATATTAAAGACATTTATATTTTTTCTTTCTTTATAGCGCTATATATTTTTTTTCTTTTTGGTATTCAATTTTTAAGCCAATTTTAAACATCCGCTAGACATTGGATCCTAAGAAAATCAATTTAAGATCACTAATAAAGTTTTATGCATTCTTTGTTTTAGTCTGGAGTATTCCCTTAAGTGGGCAGCTATACAATGGTACACAGTACTACTTAATGTTACCCTTTTTTCCAGTGAACTAGGACCTCTAGCCAGGTGATGTTAACTTGGCTCCAAAAGGTCCCAGCTTAATGCTGACAGCACTCTGAGCAGCCTTCCACTGCACAGGTAAATAGAGGTTGGACTCAGCAAGCTAGCATTAGGGCATCTGATTGGAAATATAATTCTGCAAAAAACAAAAAAAAGACAGTGACATATTTTCAGGTAAGAATGTAGGATCAGGGGAGGTGCTAGCCACTTGGGGGCCCTGAGCACAAACGCTGTGTGGTAGCCCCCACCTGGAAATGAACAAAAAGGTTATTATCACTTCTTTTCTCTTCACTTCCAGAAAAGCTTCTCAATTTGTTTTTCTCTTTATTTAAAGATGCTATAAATAAAAGGAGATATTCAAATCTTGAAAACAATAAACTAATTTTTCACCAACAATGGTGCAGTACTTCCACACAAGATAACTGTTTAACATATAGTGGAAGAAAACTAGGAAAACATAATTCCGGAGCGAATTGAATTGCATTAAACAACTTTTTGTGCTTAAGGGGCAATATATTTGAGATAGATAGATCTGTATAAAAATATTACATACCAGCACTTATTTAATCAATTTAAAGCAATGGGTTTGACGTCGAAATGTGCTCAAATTCAATACAAATAAACTATAAAATGCTAAGCTAAATGAGTCTTCAAGTTGTTTGAATTGGACAAAATTTAAAAATGGTTTATTCATCATATAATTTTACTGTAAATGCCAATGCTTTTGTTGAATTTATGCAGCACCTTTTAAAAAAAAATCAAATATATAGAAACTAAATTAATTCAAATAAATATGGAGACCTTTGTATTTATTTACATTTCTTTTGGATCATTTAATGATGTTAAATGTAAATGCAGCACATTGGTAAATATTGTATCCACCTGTATTTTTTTTGGATCTATTTAAAGAGCCTGAGTGTTTAAAAGACTTAATTTCACACTGCACAAGTGGACCATAAGATAACAGAATAATACTAAAGTATTCAAATAATAATAAATATAAATATAACAATAAATATTATATCCACACAATGCATTATTCTGTGATCTATTATTTAATATTTGTGTTTAATTATAATAGTTTAAAATTTGTAACAATTGATAAATAATATCCTGGTTAAAACAACAAATTCTTACCTCTTGTCTGAGGTTCACTTAGAAGATATTTTATCACTTCCTGGGCAGCATTCTCCACACTTACTGACACACCTGTTTAAAAATGTAAAAAAAAAAACAAAAAAACCCAAAGCATTTAATAATCTCTTCTTTGAATGCCAGCAGCATATTTTCTCACGTTCTATTACTAATTGATTTTTTTTTTAAAGAAAATGCATATATTTGTTTGGTGGGGAGGAAAGAATTATTCATGGTAGGAATAGATTGTTTTTAACAAAATAAAACTAACATATTTTTGTCAGAACACCTAGAAACCTTTGGTTAGTGATTGAGGAATTAATGTTTTGCTAAAATAAAACTATGAAATAAAACAGCAAGTATTTCCCTTTGCAGCTTTTTAAAACAGGAAATAAAAGCAACACGGCTTTTTATTGCGGCAGTTTAATTTGGTTTCTGACTGTCAGGAAATCACAACAGGTAAACAGCTAAATGCCTAACATCTTAAATGTTCACATATTTACAGTTAAAACTTTTGTTAAACCAAATCTGATGAGAAACAAATTATAAAGAGCTAATTACCAACTTATCTTAACGCGGTTTGTTTGAAAGGCCAATCAGGAAAAACAGCCTTTACTGTCTCTCCATGTCACACCTTGACATATAGGTTTGCTAACCTCTACGTGTTTATCTAGAGCTGTTTCTTTTGCTCAGATTGGACTACACTTCCAGCAACTCCAGGTAAATCTGGTGTACATAAAGAATCAATGTATAATAAAGAATTAGATGCCTCGCTTTAAGTATTGTGCAGGATCTATCATACTGTGGTGCTGTTTCTCAATTCAACTCTTAAAACAACTCTAAAACTCAACTCTAAACTAAACTCTAAAACTAAAAACAACAATTATTCGGCCTTTTAGTTGGAAAATAATGAGGAAAAAATGGCAAAAGCAGCAAAAAAATTAAATAAAGAGCATAGTCCCATCTCTAGACCTTCACTCTGCCTAAACAAACTCAATTAAAGGATGTATTTTTTCAAAATCCCCCATGTGAATATTCTACTGCTACAAAATGTATTCTAAAATCTTTACCAAGCAAATAAAAGTGCATTGGATGGTGTTTATCTCAGCATCTTGGCCCTGAGCCATCCTCACCAGCACTAACATAAGCACAAAAGATCTAAATCTGCAATATTCCTGGATAGTAAATAAATCATGTATAAATTTACTGGGTGGTCCTCAGTGTGGAGGACACACACAGATGTCCCCTAGCAACAGAGGCGTTCCCATTACTAAATTTGATCAGGCAGTTCATTTTGATGCTGGAGAGATAAATGAACAAGCTTGACGACAATAAGTTCAAATTGTGCAGTTAAGTCTGTTGTGATTAAATAAATAAAAGGAGAAGGGGGATTTACTTTTTCCTTTAAATAAATGTGCCTAACTTTATGATCAGCTGAGATATGCAGTTGCACATAGTTTTATAATAAGGGTTTCAAGTTTTTAACAGAGCTATTTGCAGACTGAAACAAACTGTTTAATGATAGAAAAGCAATTACTCTAATGTGGCAGGGATCAGCATTGCAGTGGTTTGATTCTTATTTGAAGGTCAGAGTTTTTAAAATTAGACTGGTTGATGTGTTATTTTCATCTTTCGTGTGGTGTCCCTCAGGGGTGAATTCTTGGACCTGTCCTTTTTCCTCTCTACAGTATGTGCTCCCTTTTGGGTTCTATTGTTAGAAAGCATGGCTTCACATTTCATTAGTATGCAGATAACATTGACATCTTAATAGCAAGAAAGTGAAAGACCTTTGAAAGACCTTCTTTAGTGTTAAGACCAAAATAGAGCTGAGGGTGGCACTTAATTCTGTAAAACTAAATGGAGCTTCTAACTTTGTTGACTTTAGTCCTTTAGTTTCTACATATGACCCTATATAAGGAACCTAAGTCTATCAAGATAACAGTTTAAACTTAACAAGTATATAAACAGAGCTTTGGTCAATTTTTTTATGTATTTTAAATATAATTAATTGACTTAAACCAACTGGAGTAGTTTATGGACCTGAGATTCTACGTTTAAAATCTGCAGGGAATGCGTGTAAATTAAACTTAAGCTGCCTACTCCCTCAAAGATGCACTAGATGGGTGGAGAGAGCGGATGGGTTTGGACGGTTCCCAGAGACAGAAATAGCCCTATGGGTTGGGCTGTTCTGCGTTCCATGACTCCTGATAGTTTGGACACCGGGAAGTGACATGTGTGAGATTCCTTTATGGATTCCTGCGCATGCTTCCTGTTGGGATATGCTGCTTGGGTTTTAAAAAAGTCACAAACTACATTTATAGAAAAACAACAAAAAAACAAAAAATAATTTTTGTCAGTGTGTTGGGTCACCTTTACCTGTGGAATTGTTACATTCATCTTGGACGGTTGTTTTGGTCCACTCTCTTCCATTGCTTCAGTTCATTCTTCACGGCTCCCACTTGATCGTTTCAGTTATTACGCCTCTGACCTTTGACTAGACAACTGCAGCACCTCATTTTTCCCTTTTTTGGTTTTTCCACTGTAGACTTGTTGCACTGTTTGGGCCCATCGTCCTGCAGATGAGTCTGTCTAAGGAAAAATTCAGCTGTTAGAAGTTTTCACATCTCAATCAAAACTAATTTGGCAAACAGAGAAGTTTACGGTGAATCTAAAGATTATTCTGTAACCAAGTGTCACGTCTACAAAATAAGCGCAGAGCATTTCTACGAAGTTTGTAGAATACTTAATGGGCGGAGTGGTAAAGTCCTGATGAAGAACATGTTAACAATCTACAACCAACCGGATTGTTATATGGGCTTTAGAAAGAAATGGTAGAGAGATTATTTGTCTAAGAGATAGGAAGGCCGATTGGTGGCGTCAGAGGAGCGTTTTATTTGGGGTTTGACGTACTTAAATCCCACTTTGCTCACTCCTGGTAAGAATTGTGTTTATCAAACAGCACGTATCATCTCGGTCTGTAGTCAGACCAGACTGGGTGGGCTTATTCTCTCATCCAGACACACCCAGCTGTCCGAGCCAGAGGTCAACAGCTGAACTCACCAAAACATATCCAATGAATTTAAGGCAATACTGCTTGGTTTTGTTACCAAACGTCCTCAGTGGTATCTGGATTCTATGTACTCTAGGGCTTGAATTTCTTAAATAACTGCCTAGCAGGAAGTATTAAGATGAAGTTGAAATTACACCAAGAGTGCCCACTAGTGATAGCAATCTGCTAGTGCCTGCACCAATGCTTATACTGTAGGACAAATAGCTGGAAATGATCAATACATGGTGAAAATCGAGAAAGCTTTCATCGTGTTTTAATAAATAGCAACAGAAACATGTGAGCAATGCCTGATGATAAGCTCCAAACATTCTGGGTTTGTCCACCAATGCAAAACTTCTGGGAGGAAAAAAATAATCAAACTGTCTCAAAGTTAAGGCCACAGCATCCCACTATCCCCACTATCTGCCTACTTGGTGATCTAGAGGAATTGAATAAGCTCCAAAGAAACCCAAACACAGCTTCCCGTGGCGTAGACTAACCTAAATAACACATTACTGCTGGAAAAACAGAAAACAGAATAACTAAACCACAATGGCTAGATCTTCTTACACATTATATATCAATGGAACAACAAGCAGCAATAGATTGAAATCAATTCAAATATTAAAAAGAAGCATTTCCATAATTTTAAACTCAATTTTAATGCCATAAATTGATGCCACTGAGAAGACAATGGAAGAGCCTAACAATAATATCTCAAAACCTGTTCCTTAGTTATTTGTTTTAGTTTATAATTTTTGCTTTTATATTTAGTATCATTCTTGCTCATTTTCCCACTTCTCAAAAATATCTGTGACCCTAAAATAAATCAAAACAAGGAATATCAGAGTAAAGGAAAATATTGATGCCAATCAGAAGATACAGAGGGAAGCAAAAGAAAAAGAGGAAATAAAACACCATTTGGTTATGTTGTGTTTTATCTTTACCGTAACTGTACTTATCATAAGGTGTAGTTTTGTTATCTGTTTAAATGGTTATCTAACCTGTAATGTTTAATAATAAAATATAGACTTTCAAAGGCAGCTATAAGCTCTCCTACAGAAGTAGACCTATCTTTTTGCACTGCACTGGAAATGCTCCAAGTAAGCTATTCTTTGACTGAAATATGATTTGTTTGTTTACTTTTTGTTTAATCATTAACATTACCGATTAAATGCGACCCAATCAGACTTCTGAATGGTACACAAAACCAAAGCCTCCAGCATGTGGAAAAGATAAATGTAGAAGTCATGGAGCAATGCAATGTTTGCAGTAGTTATTTTAGATGCTACTGCTACTGTTGTTCAATAAAGAAAAAAAAAAACAATATAATAGTGGATATTTAACCTGTTTACCAATGGGAGCTGGTATCATGATGACACATCTTAAGAGAACATGGCTATCACTTTTAGTGGAGTGGTGACTCTGACAGTCTGTGTCGCATAGAAGGAGACGTGAGTAAAGGCTCAATATGCATCATGGCAGCTCAGACTGCTAAACAGATCTAGTACAATCTATAGAAGTGGATCAAATGGAATTTTTTTTAAGGTTGGGATGTTCAGACTGCCATGAAAATGTCTAAGATGGGTCTGATGTGGACCAAAAAGATCAGACTGTGTCTCGTTTGCCTGCTGTGTGAATCTACTTCAGTAAAGAAAATTCACAGATTCATCGCCAAATTGATAACTCATCAGCCAAACATTTCTTTGACAATACTAGAACCTCTGTGCCACCACTGCAGGGCAGATAGTAAGCTATAACCATATATTGCTGAAAACCAGCCTAAGGTCTGACTGGGAGACTTGCATTGGCCTTTCTGAAGAGTCCTAAATGCACAGGGACCGTCTGCAAATTGCAGCACCAGAAAAACTTGATAGAGAAATATTGAATGGCGTTACCAAGGAGGGTCTTATGGTCATCACCATCATTTAATGTGTGATCTTAAGGTTTTGTACAACATTTCCAGAGCTGAAAAAAAAAGTATTAAATAAAAATAAATGCAGGGATTTCCACAAAGCCTATAGGCTAAATCGAAACTCAGAAAAATCACTTTTGCTAGGTGAATGATAGAAAAAAAACCCAAATGAACAACAGTAAGCTGCATCAATGAAATTGTTTTATATAAATGGTTTTAATTTTATTAATGTTTTATCATTAATGTAAGAAATATCTGTGCTATAGCATGTTGTAGCACCACCAAACAGCACACATAGAGCACGTCTTGATCATACTCTTTATGTACTTGAATGTGCCTGTTTCAATGATTCCCTGCTAACAAGCTTTATGGAGATGCTGATGTTATTTTCTACCTGTCCATACAGTCAAACACTAATTAAACCCAATAAATACACCTAAAGCTACCTAGAGTTTCTCAACACCTCAGCAGAGCCAGAAATTCCTGCTGCTGCTGACTGGAAGTTAACAGAGGAGATTAACACAAGGAAATGTCTTATAGACCTATTAGACTTTTTTTTGGTGTTTTTCAAATAGTCAGTAGCTATAAAAGCTGAAGCTGGAAACAAGCTTAACTTTATAGCATGTCACCTTAAAATTTAATGAGAGTCATAGGATATTAATCCAACATGTATTCATTTTCAATTCACTGAGATACAATAAACATCTATGAAAAACACCATTTACTGTTACTTTTATCATCTACTTTAAATGTGACCACTAGATGGCTGCATAGTGTTACAATCCAAGCATAAAAACAGTTAAACTTAAACCCATTGGTGCGAAAAATATAAAATTTTAGCAGGAAAAAGATTAAATATACTGTGTATCATATTAGAAATTTTGTGTTAAATATTTAACTTTTTTCCTTCAGCCATTTACTGGACTATTTTATCTATAAATGCACATCCACTGTTTATCTTTGTGATTCACCAAGTGTGTTTCGACTAAACGATAATGAGATTAAAAAAAAGCAACATTATTATTTAAAAAGAACAAAACGTAAACGAATAAAAAGACAACCAGGAAGTAGGAACTACTTATTATTGGGAAGGAGTCAAACCGCCGTTACCATGGAAACATAACGCTACATTGCGGCGCGGTAAAAAGGTTCGCCTTCCTATCCCCAGAATCCATCCCCTATATCGCAACAGGTCTGTAGCATTGTTTAAAATTGGTAATACTTTCGACGATATTGTGTTAAAGTGAGAGAATGGACTCGGAGTACTTAAAGCAACATGTGGGAGTGTTTCTGGCGGAGGGATTGGCTGAAGTGGCAGAGAGGCGACCTGCTAGGCCCATCCAGTATCTGGCTCACTGGCTCTACAAAAAGTCATCTAATGCTGAATACCAGAAAGAGGCAAGCCGCAGTTTCATTTAGTGTCAACAGGACACAATACTACATCAAATCTCTTTTAAATATCTGTCTTTGACCCAAATGACTATATGTTTAGCAGGCGCTCCCCTGCAAAAACCAGAGACCAGTATTTTTAGTTGTCTTAATTTTATTTCCTTGTTAAAGGTCTGACTTTATGCTTAAAAAGGGGAACCTCCACCTTTTTGCAGCTTTTATTTAGCTTAATCCATCCCCATCAAATCTGACTGGAATCCCACAGCATGATGCCTCCACCTTGCTTCACAATGGGAACAGTATTTTCAGGGTGATATGAATTATTAAAATTTTGTTATTACAGATGGTGATAAAAATTTGAGTGTACTTTAATTGATTTATTCTTTAGCTGTAAACCGGGCTGTTGTCATTCTTTCAGAAAGCAAAATTATTGCTCGTTTTTAAAAGGACAGACCCATGTTTTGTGTGCAGACACTTTCACCTGATCTGTAGATCTCTTCATGGGCAGAATGAATACTTCTCTAAATAATCACCTCTCTGCTGATGAACCTACAGTCAGTCGACCCGAAGGCTTTCATTAGGTTTTTGTATTTTCCAAAAATGAGCTCAAACATATATTTATTTAATGCTTTCCTATTGTTGACAACACAAGAGAACTATAATACACTGCTATTTATATTTATAGATAGAGAGATGCCTTTTAGTGCATTTTATATAAGTCCCAAAAACATTAATGTATAAAAAAAATAACGAGTAACAGCCGATTCCGATGCAAAATTGATTTATCATGCATCCCTAAAAGTACAATTTCAATTCCATCCATTCAGAAAAATATGGCATAGTGTATTTTTTTTTCTTTTAAACTTTCCGGTAATATACTTTTTTGCATATTGCACATCCTAGTCTCACTCAGTCTCAGCCTCTATTATTGTTGCTACCAAACGATAGAGGCTGTATTTATTTATTTATTTATTGATTAATTTTTTTGCAGGTGAAAGAGCGTTTGGCTCTCTTGGAGGAGCAACAGGCAGAAGCTGATGGAGGAAAAGTGCATGAGGAGGAGCTGAAAAAGGACGAGCAGAAAACCAGTGAAGCCATAGAAGAACCTCATAATGTATGATTATTACCATAAAGGTTTAGTCTTTAAAATATGTTTAATCTTTTATTAGCTTTAATATCTTCGAACATGATTAAAAAAATATTTTTAACAGATGACTGAGAAACTCTCAGAACCTGATGAATCAACTGGAACCACTACAGAGCCTGCTGATGATGAGAAACCCGTAAACGAAGAGGAACCGAGCTGTCCTGATCCGGAACGCACAAAACAAAATCCTGATGTCAAGGAAGAGGACAACGAACAAGAGGTGATGACATTTGGATGTTGTGCTGCTGCAAGTGGTGTCGCTTTAATCCTGAGCATGAACGTGGTGACAGTGGAGAAAAACGAAGCTGCCTTATTTTAATAATGTCAAAAAGCAGCTTTATTTTTATGAAAAATAATTTAAAACAAGAAATGGCAGTGAACAGGCCTGTAAAAATGGTCAGAATATCATAGATAGATATAAAAATGGCTGAAAAAATCAATTAACTTAACCCCATTGCCCCTGATGGTTCAGTCCAACTGCAGGTAAATCTACTCTATTCTCTTTGACAAAAAGAAGCAGGTTGGGAGCAGCTATAAAACACATCTAATAGGTTGCTTTAAATGACAGGACAATATAAACCAAGATATTGCATTACCTTTACGGTGCGGTGTCATGTAAATATAAGAACAGTACCAGATTATAGCATATTCCTATTGCAATCTGTAGTCCCTGGACAGTTTACAAAATAACTTTTAACACATATGAAAACACTTATGCATCAGTACAAACCCTCACAATCTAACAGTGTCTATGATGGCAAATGTGAACTGTTTTTTAACAGATCTTTTTAGATTAAATAATAAAAAAAAGAGAGCTGCAGCTCCTAACAGCATCAGGTAAAATATTCCACTGCTTAGTGGGATTTATAATAAAAGCAGGTTCCGAATAACAGTAAGACTGAAAGGTACGGCCACTCTCTCCTAGATGATTCTGATTGAATTGATCCTAAAGGGCAGACAGATACAAAAGGGGAGGGGTATGACCATTTAAAATCTTATATACAGGACATAAATTAGAACATAATATAAAAAATCTCACAGGTCAATAGCTTGTGCTTCTCTATTACCCTTTAGAGATGGTGATGTAATGTAGATGAAATCAAAGTCTGCATAAATGTATAAGCTGCATCTAGTGAAAGACAAAGTCTAATACATTTAAAATGCATTAGACTAATGATTTTTCTCATGTTCTTAACATTTAATTTAATTCAGTATATGTATATAGTGCCAATTCACAACATACAGTATGTCATCTCAGGGCGCTTGGTTGAAACAATTCAATCAGACCAAACATTCTGTTTATCTAAAGCCCCTGTCACACCTTGGCAATTTAACCATTGTATGCCTGACATACGAAAGATCTGGCAAAAAAAAAAAATGGCATACGTTGGAAATGGTACGGGTCAGTTTTGTATAAGTTACGAGAATGCTGAAACACACTGGGACATGTCGACATACGGCAAGTATGTCAAGGAATTTTGAGCATTTCTTGACAAATGCCAGAGTATGCTCAGTCGTGGGCCATAAGTCACAGGTAAGTTATTTGATTGTTGAGATACATTACGTGTGAGTCACTCATACGTCCTGGTGTCTAGCTTATCCACAACCTGAGTAACGTGTGCATAACTTATGCGTAACTTATGAAGAAATTATCCTCAACGCATAGCAACATATTTGACGTGTTCCAGACGAACGCTGAACGTGTTTCTAACTTACAGCTACTGTATAATGGTGTATTTGCAACGTTTTGGTATGAAAGGGGTTCACAGGAGGAAACCATCAGTATTTCTCCAGACTTAATGGTGAGCAGAAGCAACTAGGTTAATATCATGTTCAAATAAATCTTTTTATGCAGGCGAGGCACCTCCATTTACATTGCTGCTCCCCTTAGGACACTGACTTGTGACATTTCATGGATATTATGCTGCCGTGCTTTATGCATAAGTTAGGCAGTCGTTGGACATAGGTTCTGGACTCATTATGAACACTCTAAGTATACGCCCAACATTGTAAAAATACATAGAAAGTTCAGCGTAAGCCAGCATTTTTAGAGGATTCTGGGACGTCAGGCATATGCTGGTTAAATCGTCAAGGTGTGACAGGGGCTTTAGAAGGCCAGCTGATTGCATTGAGTCATTGAGTTTGCAGGATTCTTTCCTCATGGATCAGTATGTGGTCAGACATTCGCTTGCATTGTGTTGTTGACTCTAGAGCAATCCATCACACCAAGCATGCACACAGTGACAGTGGAAGGAAAAAAAAACCCTTTAACAGGAAGAAATCAACAGAAGCAGGCTCAGTGAGAGCGGCCTTCTGCTGAGGAAGACTGGGAGGCAAAGGAGCGAATGGAAGACACAAAATAAACACTGAAGCACTGATCTATAAAGGAAGATGGTTCTTAATTTATTTTTAAAAACTCCAAGGAACATACATGTAAATCACTTTAAAGCAAGTTATTAAAGCCACTGTGTCTCATTCAGTCTTAGCCTCTATTATTGTTGCTAGCATGTTAAAGTCCTGATCTATAAACTGGTTTGAGAGCGAATAGAGGAAAACTGAGGCTTTAATCAGACTGAAAGATAAGGCAGAAAACCTCAACCATATTTTCCCTTTCAGGTTACATGCTCTAAACTAGCAACATATTAAACCCATATGCAACCAGATTATTTCAAGGCCATATTTATGTATTGATTTTTATTTTTTTTGCAGGTGAAAGGGCGTTTGGCTCTCTTGGAGGAGCAGCAGGCAGAAGCTGAGGGAGGAAATGTGCATGAGGAGGAGCTGAAAAGGGAAGAGCAGAAAATCAGTGAAGCCCTAGAAGAACCTCAGAATGTATGATTATTACCATAAAGGTTTAGTCTTTAAAATGTGTTTACTCTTTTATCAACTGTAATATCTTCAAACATAATTAAAAATATATACGATCGTTAAATAGCAACTTAAAGTATAACACAATATCAGAAAAAAAGGATAACCGTCAACTATTCAACAGATGGCTGAGAAACTCTCAGAGCCTGATGCATCAACTGGAACCACTACAGAGCCTGCTGATGATGAGAAACCCGTAAACGAAGAGAAACCTAGCTGTCCTGATCCGGAACGCCCAAAACAAAATCCTGATGTCAAGGAAGAGGACAACGAACAAGAGGTGATGACATTTGGATGTGAACATGTTGTGCTGCCGGCTTTAATCCTGAGCATATAGATGTGGTGACAGTGGAGAATGAGGCCACCTTATTTTAATAATTTTTAAATACTGCATGGACCAGGATAAAGTCCTCAAAAAGCTGATTTATTTTTTTATGACAAATTATTTAAAACAATAAATGGCAGTGAATGGGCCTGTAAAAGAGGTCAGAATATAAAAGATAAATATAAAAGGATGGGAAAAAAAATCAGTTAACTTAACCCCATTTCCCCTGATGGTTGAGTCCAACTGCAGGTAAATCTACTGTATTCTCTTTGACCAGCAGGAACAGGTTTGGAGCAGCTATAAAACACAGCTAATAGAGTGCTTTAAATGAAAAGTAAATATAAAACAAAATATTGCATTGCCTTCACAGTGCGGTGTAATGCTAGTAAGAATAAGTAAGCGCAGTACCAGATTAATTCAATTCAATTCAGTTTAATTATATAGCGACAATTCACAACACATTTCATCTCAAGGCACTTTACAATTCAACCAGATCCATCCATCCATTTTCTGACACGCTTTATCCCAAGCGGGGTCGCGAGGGGAGCTGGTGCCTATCTCCAGCTTTCTACCAGATCATATAGTCAAATTGATTTCAAGTTTACTATCTAAGGAAAATTAGTTGCATCGACTCATTGACTTGAAGGCAACCCCTCACACTAAGCATGCTTGTAGCAACAGTGGAGAGAAAAAACTCCAGCAGAACCAAGCTCAGTGTGAGATTTTAGTTTATTCCCATTTCAATCTGTAGTCCCTTAACGTTTCAGTTTAAATATCACAAGATATTTAAACAAGATATCTAAACTCAGAAATTTAAATAATTTCCCCATTAAGAATTACCTGTAAAATCTACATTTTTTTTTTTTATCTTAAACTGAAATCAGGAGTTTACCACTAAATAAAAGCACAACTAATCTTAAGTCTGCATAACAAAAACTGTACATACTGCTTTGCTTAAATTATGCGTAGCTTTGTAGACTGTATTCATTTTTGTTGTTTTTGTTTAAGATGACATCTACTAACAAAAACATATTAACTTCTGGAACAGGAGAGAACAGATGTGGAGCAAAACACGAGCAACCATGATCCAAACGAAGGGACAGAAGCTCACCTAGATCTAGAGGAGGTAATTTGGTGACTTTTCAATAGTCAACTATTATTACTTTCAATGATTTGCTACAGTGTTCATACGCTTCAGCATTTTTCAACCACATACCTTAATGCCGGAAAAGATGAAGTGGTGCAACATTGTCAATTTTTAGGAAAAGATCCCTTCAGTTAGTGCAACCAGTTTAGGAGTAAGCTATAGTCAACCTCTATGGATTCAGGTTAGGGATTCACCTTGAAGAAGGTGCTCTGGTCAGAGGAGATCAAAGTTTTTGGCCTAAATGTGAAGCACTCTGCGTGCAGGAAACTTAGTTGAGCACATCTCTGGGAATGGTTTCCCCTGCAAGAAAGGAAGCTGATGAGAGTTGATGTGTAGGAGGAGGAATTAAAACACAAGCTGATCTTAGGACATGTCTGCAAAACTAAGTCTAAATAAAGTGATTCAGATCAAATAATATCAGCTTTATACAGATTTAGGATCTGTGACAAAAGCTCAAGTCAATATGCTTCGTTAATTTACTACAGCAGGTCCATTTTCATGTTTATTGATCTTGTCTACAGGTGAGCGGCCAATCTAATTCTGGCAAACAGGAAGCAGAACAAACCGAACAACTCCAACAAACTCCAGGCCAAGGTGGCACTGATATGACATCTGACAATACAGAGAATCTGCGCAACACATCAAGCCCTGACTCCCAGAATGCAGAGCAGGTGATGCAGATAAAATGCAGCTTATTTGGCTGTGATTATGGCTCATTTATTCAGGTAGAGAAGGAGAGAAAAGATTTGACTTCTACAAGACAGATAAGGGACGAGAGATATTTCAAAGAGAACATAGACAAGCACCTAAAGTATTTATTTCTTTTCCATGATTAGTACTACTTCTTTTTTATCACTCACTTCTAGGTTGATGGAGAAGAGATGGATAAACCTGAAAACTCTGTCCAAGAGGAGGCCTCCTCCACTGTGCAGAGCATGGAGATTCCAACAGAGAAGACATTTCCAACTGAAGAACAAGAAGAAACCATGACAGCTGATGAACAGGAGACAGAAGAATCCAGTTCTGTTGCTTCTCAGTGAAGGGAATACTTCGTAGATTCTGATTGAAGTTTAGTTCAGGCCTGTTTGCTGCCACAGGATTTACTGCATGTAACAGTGAAGTTATTGCTTGTTTATACTGATTTTAATGATAAAATAAATCACAAAAAAATGTATGTAAGCGAATTTGACCAAAGTATTAGTTGTAGTACGATCAAGATGAGGCGCTAAAGCATGTTGCTCATTTTGTTCTCATTATATTTATAAAAAAAAGGTAAAGAGGCTGAATATTTGGCTATAGGTTGTAGTCTTTTGGAAATTCCTCACCGTTTTGAAAGTATTAATTTCCAATTTGAGAAATGTAGTATGAAACATATGAGATCATTTATCCATTAAAGAATTTAAATAAAAATACACCTGTCCTTTGTGACACTATTATTATTTCTTCATCATGTTGCAATCTGCAGACGGTTCCTGCACATTTCATAAGCGCTAAGCTCAGCTGAGAGGCCAACGGAAAATGCAATTGATGCTCACTGTCTGCTTTGCTGTTTTTGCAGAGGGAAATTTGTGAATTTTTCTAACTTTACTGACATGAGGAGTTCTAGACAGGGACCAGGCACATGTAAAGCTGATCCTGGCCCCAATACTGAATGGGTAGCACTGACATTTACAGAAACTGTAACTGATTAGTTCGTTTGGTCAAAGGTTTATTACAAGTTATCTAAAATAAAGCAGTCAACAACCCAATGACAATACAAAACACTGGCCCCACCTTGGACCTTGGGCGATATCAAGAAAATTTTATATCAAAATATCTTTGGGATATAGCACCATATACGAGATATCACAATATGATCAAATAACCTTGAAATACAAACGTTTTTAGCCACATAGTGCCTAAAGTTGCATTGCTATATGTCAAATTAACATGTAATTTTTTTGTTTGAAAAATTGATTGCAAATTAAAAATTATTTAAAATGTTTTATTTATGTTTTAACCATCAGCTGCACATATATTTCTTTTTAATTTACAATATTGTAACATTAAAGCTCTTTCGGGTTCAACGCTGGACCTTAAAATAGAACATCCCAGCATCCAAAAGGAACCCCAAGAATAAAAATCTGAGACAAAAAAAACCTAAGATAAAAAGGGGGACTTTTGTGATCTTTTATGACAATCTTCATTTTGCTCTGGATGAGCTTTTTAGGTGGTGGAATAAAGTTGTTGTACCGTTAACTTTTGTAGCAATGGTTTTTCGGCATGTTTTGGAAATTACAGCATTTTGTTCAACATCTTTCTTGTCAAATCCAAACCACTGCCATATTATTGATCCAGTGCTGTTTTCTCCTCAGCTCCAGTTTGTCTGGATCCTCTTCAGACTCATTTTCTTTTTTAGCCTAAACTCCAGCTGTTGCTGCCATAGTTCTCGCTGTCTCGTTGATGTAATAACCGTTTGTGCTTGTTGTTGTGTGTGCCAGGACGCTTTCTGGTCTGGAGGAGGAGCAAGCGATGCGTTCTTAGCATGTAGGAGAAATTAAACTCAAAGTGAATTAAATACAGCTGCTAAATCATGCCATGAAAATTAGCAATCGATGGTTGAGATAAAGTCTTTTTAACCATCTTGCTGAGGGAAACTCAAGATACATCGAATATATTCCATACAGTATATATCATAGGGTGACCAGATTTGGGTTTCTGAAAAGGAGGACCTTTTTTTTTTAATGGGGGGAGGCTGCTGGGCCACTGACTGCACCGGCCATTCCAACTGAGCCGGAGCCATCTGGGGACGGGGCGACCAAACCCAACCCAGTGTCTGTATGCTTCCCCCCGCAGGGGCAGGCAGGGGGAAGCATAAAATAAATATACAAAGGCAAAAATTTACAAAGGCTTGAAATGGAAATGAGTGTGCCCCATCTGGCTAATGTAGTAGAACGACAGATTTGGATTCAGTGAGTCACATGACCTGGAAGCTGTTGAAGAAATATCAATTATTTTTCTAATACAAAATGTTTAAAAATGAACAAAGGCTTAAAATGGAATAAAAATGAGTGTGTCCCATCAGGCTAATGTAGTAAAACAATTTCACAAAGAATTTAAGTCGGTGGGTCACATGACCTGGAAGNGAGGTGATGACATTTGGATGTGAACATGTTGTGCTGCCGGCTTTAATCCTGAGCATATAGATGTGGTGACAGTGGAGAATGAGGCCACCTTATTTTAATAATTTTTAAATACTGCATGGACCAGGATAAAGTCCTCAAAAAGCTGATTTATTTTTTTATGACAAATTATTTAAAACAATAAATGGCAGTGAATGGGCCTGTAAAAGAGGTCAGAATATAAAAGATAAATATAAAAGGATGGGAAAAAAAATCAGTTAACTTAACCCCATTTCCCCTGATGGTTGAGTCCAACTGCAGGTAAATCTACTGTATTCTCTTTGACCAGCAGGAACAGGTTTGGAGCAGCTATAAAACACAGCTAATAGAGTGCTTTAAATGAAAAGTAAATATAAAACAAAATATTGCATTGCCTTTACAGTGCGGTGTAATGCTAGTAAGAATAAGTAAGCGCAGTACCAGATTAATTCAATTCAATTCAGTTTAACTATATAGTGCCAATTTACAACACATGTCATCTCAAGACACTTTACAATTCAACCAGATCCATCCATCCATTTTCTGACACGCTTTATCCCAAGCGGGGTCGCTAGGGGAGCTGGTGCCTATCTCCAGCTTTCTACCAGATTATCCAGTCAAATTGATTTCAAGTTTACTATCTAAGGAAAATTAGTTGCATCGACTCATTGACTTGAAGGCAAACCCTCACACTAAGCATGCTTGTAGCAACAGTGGAGAGAAAAAACTCCAGAAGAACCAAGCTCAGTGTGAGATTTTAGTTTATTCCCATTTCAATCTGTAGTCCCTTAACGTTTCAGTTTAAATATCACAAGATATTTAAACAAGATATCTAAACTCAGAAATTTAAATAATTTCCCCATTAAGAATTACCTGTAAAATCTACATTTTTTTTTTTTATCTTAAACTGAAATCAGGAGTTTACCACTAAATAAAAGCACAACTAATCTTAAGTCTGCATAACAAAAACTGTACATACTGCTTTGCTTAAATTATGCGTAGCTTTGTAGACTGTATTCATTTTTGTTGTTTTTGTTTAAGATGACATCTACTAACAAAAACATATTAACTTCTGGAACAGGAGAGAACAGATGTGGAGCAAAACACGAGCAACCATGATCCAAACGAAGGGACAGAAGCTCACCTAGATCTAGAGGAGGTAATTTGGTGACTTTTCAATAGTCAACTATTATTACTTTCAATGATTTGCTACAGTGTTCATACGCTTCAGCATTTTTCAACCACATACCTTAATGCCGGAAAAGATGAAGTGGTGCAACATTGTCAATTTTTAGGAAAAGATCCCTTCAGTTAGTGCAACCAGTTTAGGAGTAAGCTATAGTCAACCTCTATGGATTCAGGTTAGGGATTCACCTTGAAGAAGGTGCTCTGGTCAGAGGAGATCAAAGTTTTTGGCCTAAATGTGAAGCACTCTGCGTGCAGGAAACTTAGTTGAGCACATCTCTGGGGATGGTTTCCCCTGCAAGAAAGGAAGCTGATGAGAGTTGATGTGTAGGAGGAGGAATTAAAACACAAGCTGATCTTAGGACATGTCTGCAAAACTAAGTCTAAATAAAGTGATTCAGATCAAATAATATCAGCTTTATACAGATTTAGGATCTGTGACAAAAGCTCAAGTCAATATGCTTCGTTAATTTACTACAGCAGGTCCATTTTCATGTTTATTGATCTTGTCTACAGGTGAGCGGCCAATCTAATTCTGGCAAACAGGAAGCAGAACAAACCGAACAACTCCAACAAACTCCAGGCCAAGGTGGCACTGATATGACATCTGACAATACAGAGAATCTGCGCAACACATCCAGCCCTGACTCCCAGAATGCAGAGCAGGTGATGCAGATAAAATGCAGCTTATTTGGCTGTGATTATGGCTCATTTATTCAGGTAGAGAAGGAGAGAAAAGATTTGACTTCTACAAGACAGATAAGGGACGAGAGATATTTCAAAGAGAACATAGACAAGCACCTAAAGTATTTCTTTCTTTTCCATGATTAGTACTACTTCTTTTTTATCACTCACTTCTAGGTTGATGGAGAAGAGATGGATAAACCTGAAAACTCTGTCCAAGAGGAGGCCTCCTCCACTGTGCAGAGCATGGAGATTCCAACAGAGAAGACATTTCCAACTGAAGAACAAGAAGAAACCATGACAGCTGATGAACAGGAGACAGAAGAATCCAGTTCTGTTGCTTCTCAGTGAAGGGAATACTTCGTAGATTCTGATTGAAGTTTAGTTCAGGCCTGTTTGCTGCCACAGGATTTACTGCATGTAACAGTGAAGTTATTGCTTGTTTATACTGATTTTAATGATAAAATAAATCACAAAAAAATGTATGTAAGCTCATTTGACCAAAGTATTAGTTGTAGTACGATCAAGATGAGGCGCTAAAGCATGTTGCTCATTTTGTTCTCATTATATTTATAAAAAAAAGGTAAAGAGGCTGAATATTTGGCTATAGGTTGTAGTCTTTTGGAAATTCCTCACCGTTTTGAAAGTATTAATTTCCAATTTGAGAAATGTAGTATGAAACATATGAGATCATTTATCCATTAAAGAATTTAAATAAAAATACACCTGTCCTTTGTGACACTATTATTATTTCTTCATCATGTTGCAATCTGCAGAGTGTTCCTGCAAATTTCATGAGCGCTAAGCTCAGCTGAGAGGCCAACGGAAAATGCAATTGATGCTCACTGTCTGCTTTGCTGTTTTTGCAGAGGGAAATTTGTGAATTTTTCTAACTTTACTGACATGAGGAGTTCTAGACAGGGACCAGGCACATGTAAAGCTGATCCTGGCCCCAATACTGAATGGGTAGCACTGACATTTACAGAAACTGTAACTGATTAGTTCGTTTGGTCAAAGGTTTATTACAAGTTATCTAAAATAAAGCAGTCAACAACCCAATGACAATACAAAACACTGGCCCCACCTTGGACCTTGGGCGATATCAAGAAAATTTTATATCAAAATATCTTTGGGATATAGCACCATATACGAGATATCACAATATGATCAAATAACCTTGAAATACAAACGTTTTTAGCCACATAGTGCCTAAAGTTGCATTGCTATATGTCAAATTAACATGTAATTTTTTTGTTTGAAAAATTGATTGCAAATTAAAAATTATTTAAAATGTTTTATTTATGTTTTAACCATCAGCTGCACATATATTTCTTTTTAATTTACAATATTGTAACATTAAAGCTCTTTCGGGTTCAACGCTGGACCTTAAAATAGAACATCCCAGCATCCAAAAGGAACCCCAAGAATAAAAATCTGAGACAAAAAAAACCTAAGATAAAAAGGGGGACTTTTGTGATCTTTTATGACAATCTTCATTTTGCTCTGGATGAGCTTTTTAGGTGGTGGAATAAAGTTGTTGTACCGTTAACTTTTGTAGCAATGGTTTTTCGGCATGTTTTAGAAATTACAGCATTTTGTTCAACATCTTTCTTGTCAAATCCAAACCACTGCCATATTATTGATCCAGTGCTGTTTTCTCCTCAGCTCCAGTTTGTCTGGATCCTCTTCAGACTCATTTTCTTTTTTAGCCTAAACTCCAGCTGTTGCTGCCATAGTTCTCGCTGTCTCGTTGATGTAATAACCGTTTGTGCTTGTTGTTGTGTGTGCCAGGACGCTTTCTGGTCTGGAGGAGGAGCAAGCGATGCGTTCTTAGCATGTAGGAGAAATTAAACTCAAAGTGAATTAAATACAGCTGCTAAATCATGCCATGAAAATTAGCAATCGATGGTTGAGATAAAGTCTTTTTAACCATCTTGCTGAGGGAAACTCAAGATACATCGAATATATTCCATACAGTATATATCATAGGGTGACCAGATTTGGGTTTCTGAAAAGGAGGACCTTTTTTTTTTAATGGGGGGAGGCTGCTGGGCCACTGACTGCACCGGCCATTCCAACTGAGCCGGAGCCATCTGGGGACGGGGCGACCAAACCCAACCCAGTGTCTGTATGCTTCCCCCCGCAGGGGCAGGCAGGGGGAAGCATAAAATAAATATACAAAGGCAAAAATTTACAAAGGCTTGAAATGGAAATGAGTGTGCCCCATCTGGCTAATGTAGTAGAACGACAGATTTGGATTCAGTGAGTCACATGACCTGGAAGCTGTTGAAGAAATATCAATTATTTTTCTAATACAAAATGTTTAAAAATGAAAAAAGGCTTAAAATGGAATAAAAATGAGTGTGTCCCATCAGGCTAATGTAGTAAAACAATTTCACAAAGAATTTGAGTCGGTGGGTCACATGACCTGAAAGCTATTGAAGAAAAGTCTGCACTTTTGTCTTTCAAAATATCTTAACAATTGAAAATAGATTGAAATTGCATAAAATGTAATCTATTGGCATGATTTTATATGGGTTTTTATCTTAGCTGGTCAAAAGATAAGGAGTTTATTTTTATTTCTCAAGAGTGTTTGGTTCAAAGATTTGGTGACGGTCCCTAACCGCACCACCTCATGTGGGAGGAGGGAGTGGCTGGGAGACGCCAGCCGACATCGGAGTCCCTCAGTTGGATCAACCGTTTGCTATATCCCGCTGACTCCGCAGAGCTTGAATATCAAAAATCCAACTTCAAACCAACTTCACCGCAGTGCTGACGGCTCGGTTCTGCTGCACCGTAGTCGACCAAAATCCTGGACGATTTTGAAATTCCCCCCGGACTTTTTTTTTTAGGTGTGAAAAGTAGGACATGTCCGGGAAAAAGGGGACGTCTGGTCAACCGAATATATTGCCAACCCTACTTGGACCTTCTGGTAAATTCTGTTCCTCCTGGTCCCTTTTCTTCCAGGACCGCCTCTGTTCATCCATTTCAAAGGGGAGGGGGGATGGCTTTACTTTGCAACATAAGGTATCATTCACTAACGGCATAAATCTGTTTAAACTGATTATAAATCCAGTTCTCCAAAAATAGTCCAAGGCTGAAACTTTTCTAACCTGCCAATGATAAATAAATAAAAAAGTTTGGAAACTTACTGTGTAATGAACATCAGTCTCCCTGCAGAGGAGGAACATCAGCTGGGTTTTAACCAGAGCAGAGGCGCTGCAAAGCGTTCAGAAAGGTTTCAATTACTATAAACTATTTCATTCATCAAATTCTGAGGCCATTGAAAAGTTCAATCCTTTGCATCTGCAGATTTGTTGATAATTTCCTTCCCTTCTATTCTCGGGATATTTAAATCCAACATTATTACTACATCAGATCGACAAAACTTGAGACAAATCAATACAAAGGCTTTAAAATATCAAAGCTAAATACTTCAGTCTGGTTTATATGCAGATTCTCACCTTCATGTGTCTGGAACAGTCGCTCAGCTTTAGAAATCAGCCAGGAGATTTGGAGCTTTACGCACCTAAACGCACCATCATCTGATTCTCCAACTGCCCTCCAGATGTTTCTTCAGTTGACATTTCTTTGCTTTATGAAGCTGCAAAACTTCCTGAGAAGCGGAGCTGCATGGCTCCATGTCTAGGTGCCCCTCTAATGAGCTCCTCCTCCCTGTCCTCTTGCAGCAGATGGAGGTTCAGTTTAATGGCGACAGAAAAAGAGCAGAAGGCCTGACTGATCTGAGCAGCTGGACTGGGGACGGTTCATTTCTATTTTGGGGAACTCTTTACGCACAAAGAAAAACAGTATTCCCATAAAAGGTGTTCAGAGGCGCAGCTGCTGTAACCAGATATCAGACTGTGGCCACATTTGGGTTGTAAATGTGAACAGATCAATTTTGCACTACTGATTATTACATATAAATTGAGTGTTGCACCGATACCAGTATCGGGATGGCCCCGATCCAGCACTAAAATGGTGGTATCGGTGAGTACCAACAAATAGGGCACCGATACCATTTTGAGAGCCAAAAGTTTATTCAACTATTGTCACCCATTCCAGGTAGGCAATAAAAAGTTCTACTGGATTAATTTTTGTATTAGTCTTTTTCCTGTTTCACAAAGGTAGGCAGCAGCTTGACAAAGCCATGATGGCAATAATTTTACATCCAAGCAGTATGCAGTTCTTCATACTGTATATAACACACACATCCATTTCAAACAGATGGTATCGGCCGATGCTGCACAGCCAGGTATCGGGTATCAGTATCAGGGCCAAAAAATATAATCAGCGCAACACTAATTATTACATATAAATTAATCTGTAAAATATCATTTTTCTTCATCTAATAAACTGAAAGACTCCGACCAAAAAAACAATTGAACAAACGAGCGAACAGATTTTCCATTTGGAACCAACTTTGCTGATCAGCCCATAAATGCATTTCCCCTACAACCGTGATGCAATTTAACAAGAAACAGGCTTTCTATTGATATAAAAACATGTAATCAACTAAATATATGACAAAAAAAACAAAAACTGCTTTTGTGCTAAAATGGTTAAATCAGTAACTAATCCAGGCCTGTGGATCGGCATGAATGTTGATGAAAAAACAACAGGAAATTCTGGAAAAAACAAACAAAAAAAACTTCACAGTTTCAGAGGAAGCTGAATCTTTCACATCATTTGTTTCTTTAGACGTCACAATCAACCAAAGCACAACTCAAAGTCAACCAAGACCACATTCAAATCATGGAACACATGGTGACCCTCATAGACAGTATTAAAGATCTCTAGTGGGATTTAGAAAGGGTCAACAAGATGACTAATATGCAAAGTCACTTTCTAAAAAAGGGAGGATAACAATTTTGGCAGTAAATATGTCCAAAAAAATGTTTAAATAACTCAAATACCCTGAGATTTAGGACTGTTAGGGGTGATGGGGAAACATTTTTAGTTTTAGAGGAAAGAGATGAGTCACCATCAGTTTACAGGCTGGTGTTCTTTCCAAGCTACACCAGTGGTCAGTAGATGGTTCAATGGAAATAAAGCATGGCAGATAGCAGTTAGCCTCGACACTGGTCTGGCATGTGATTAGAAAGCTTCGGGGCTCATAGACATCCCACTGTGTGGGTCAGGGTCAGAACAAGGAGTCACTGCAGACAGAGGGATCTCTGGGTTCTTCTGCTGGACCTGGGACCTCTGCAACCTGATCTGGGATAAGTGGAAAACGATGGATGGAAAAACTCTGTTCTGGGTAAAAGTTGACTGGAATTTGGGCAAAGCTGCATAAAAGCCTCGACTTCTTTAAGAACATCATAAACAAAAACTACATTTACCAGTGAGTAAACTTATCAAATAAGTCTAATTTTCCACTGCAGATAAAATTATAAAGCTGCTAAAAATGTAAGTGCTGCTATTTCTTCAAAAGATGCTATAAGAACTTGTATTCAGATAGGCGATGCACTAAAGTTGCATTTCTTTCCTTCTATAAATAAATGAAAAGTAGAAACTCTCTTTAAACAGTTGGATTCACTTTAACCTGCAGAAATCACTCAGAAGGAACAGAATCCATAAATATGACTCCCCCTGAGGTTTTCCTTGAGAGTCTTACAGTTTAGTCTTTACTCTTAAATAAGAGTCATGCTGTATTTTTGTAAACAAGAACATTATATCTGGAAAATTTTTATGCAAGATATAAACCATTCTATTTAGAACTTTGATGTGTTTCATAAATAACTAGGAGTGTCTTAGTTTCTCATTTTATTTTATTGCACATAAAGGAGATGACCATTTAGTATTTAAGCATCATAAAATCTGGTAAAATCATCTTTTTACAGTACAACAAAGTGTAGATGTGATGCAGAAAAATCCCAGCTCATATCACATACTGAAGAGAAACCTTTGATTGTACTTTTTTTTTTCCGACATTGTAAATGATGACGAGCAGCACAAAGGCATTCTGCTAATTATTATGCTAAACCCTACAAAGTTCATACATCTTTATCTTTGCTGATTTGCTCTTTCCTACATTATATCAGGGTTTATATCCTGAAACCTATCCTGAGAGCAACAATCCTGCAACCTTTGGATGAATCCCTTCTCCAACATTAAACAGCTAAATTCCGTCATTTAGCTCTGCAGAGTTCTGGTACCAAGCCATCCCACCATTTGAGGGGAATAAATGTAGTATAGCAGCTCTGCAGGTCTGGACTTGGGATTCCCATTAAACTGCAGGCCTGGGCCGCCGGTGTCCTGCAACTTTTAAACAACTCTTCTCCAACATCCATGAAATCAAGGCTGAGGTGCCTCCTTAGCAGGCAGCGATTTCTACAGTGTTCTGCTGCTAATATTTTTGATTCATCTCTGGGTTGCAGGGCATGAACCCTGCAGGACTGAACCATCTTTATAGTATTTTCCTGCTGAATGCTCTGCAAAAATTAAAAGAGAAAAACAATGCAATTCTCCAGAGTGAGCTTAAAAAGCTCAGTACAAAGTATAAAAATAGCATGAATAGGACTCATTTTATTTAGCTAAAACTAAAATTAAGGAAACAGCTCTGACTTTAATCCCTGAGTTGACCTGGGAAGTAGAAACTCCCTCTGAGGCTGAAGATAGAAATGCAGAAGAACCAGCTGATCTTGCTCCATGGCGGAAGCACCTGCTGCTGCAGGAACTTCAGGCCAAGAACTACATTCACCACAGCAGAACTTTACAAACTGCAAAGTTTCTAGTTACTGAAAGAGAGGCTGAACCCTGTTTTAAAGGTGTATTATTCCCTAGGAGAAACAAGTGTTCGGCACTGAAGCTGAAAACACAAACTTAGGTCCATTTTATCTGGGCTTTTTATAACAGGCCAAAACAAAGTAGTACATAAATGTGAAGTGAAGGGGAGATAAAAAAAAAAAAAAAAGAATCTAAAACAGTTGCAACCCATTTGGACCTGAGGAAACAATAAACCGGATTCAGAAATCACCTCTTTAGTGAATACATTTGCATGTTTTTAATCTAATCTGAGTGTAAATAAAGCTCAGAGGTCAGAGAGGGGTGAAGCAGATTGGTTTAGTAAGAAGGTGGTGAAGACCTTTAAAGTCGTAGGGAAGTCATATTTGAAATGTCAAATCATTCTGGCTTAAACATGTATATAAATGTACTCTTTATCAGACTATATTGTCCCAAAATTTATAAAATTCCTATTTTAAAAAAATGTCTTAAAATCTATGTGTTTTTTTTTTTGTTATCTTATGCAGACCAGTTGGAACAGCTGTTTCCCTATGAATTTAAAGAAGGTTTAGGAGCTAAACGGTTATTTTAATGGATCAACATCTCTCAGCGCTCTATTCATCTCATCATCTGTCTGTAAAATTAACTATAGATCGCTGTGAACAGTAAAAGCTGGAGTGTAGCTCCACTTTCAGCAGGACAACGACTTTAAAGATAAGGTCAAAGTATTTTCATGCGCCAGAATGGGCCCGTCAAAGTCCAGACTTAAAAACATTTGAGAAACCTGATGTTGGCAGATGTTCACCACCTAATCCAGCAGAGTTGGAGGTGTTCTTAGAAGTTCTAAGCTGAGCTGAGATATATCAGCTCATAAACAAGGTTCCCGAGTCATAGGGTTTAAATACAAAGGCACTCCACACTTTTCAGATTTGAACGTATAAAAAAAAAAAACTTTCAAAAACTTGTGTGATTTTTCTTTCCCCTCAAACTTATTTCCTATTTGGTGTTAAAAATAATTTCAAAAACTACTTTCACAGCATCAGATTCAGAGTCCCCTGTTAGAGCAGTTGTTCTTCAACAGGTGCCGACAATCTGAACACTGTACATGTGCAAAGGAGTGCTGATATGAAAGTGTGATGCTGGCTGTAGAAACTAACAGAAGAGTTCAAGGTTTGCATTGTGTGTGACAGGAGAGCTGTAGGCCGAGTGCCAGTCCCGTTCAAAGATGTCCTTCAGCTGCGACTGGACGGTTGGGCCTGCTGACTGGGAATCCGTCTGGTTTACGACCAGCGCCGAACCAGCCGTGCTCAGAAAATAGTCCCCTGACCAGTTAGACGTCCCTGAGGACAGAAATACACACAGTATGTTTGGGAGAGATACTTTTATTACACAGGAAATGATTCAACTATCAATCAGACTTAATGCATGTAAAGCTGCCCTGTTGTAGAAGCTGAAAGTAATTAAAGGTTCAATAATGTTTATCTAACAGAAAAATGAAGCATTTCACACAATGATCTTAAAAACCACTGAACCTTACCTATGTACGCTACTTTGTCAGTCACCATGTACTTGTTGTGGTTCACTCTTGCAAAGGGAATCTTTTTCTGCCTCGGGTCGGCAGGAACCACAAACAGCCTCTGATGAAACAAACAGGATGTGCTGACTTTGTGAGAGAGCGGATACATCACAGAGAAAATGAAAGAGGGTGAACCACTCACCACCTGGATGTCCAGTTTGTTTTTAGAATCGTGAACCGAAGCCAGAGACTTCAGGAAGGGAAGCATGACGGGAGGAGAGTGCTGCCAGCAGCTGATCAGCAGACGCACTCGAACCTTTTTCTCGTACGCTGAACGCCTCAGCTGGGTGTCGATGTCTGCCCAGTACCTGCATAGAGCCAAACTCCTCAGATCAGACTCCTCCCCTTTATCCACACTTAAGTCATAAACATAGATTTGGCCATTTGGGATAATTATATGACATTCAGCATCAATGCGTATTAAAAACAAACTGGACTGCATTAGTTTATATTGATTACATATCTGTGAAGATTATCAGTCATCCAGGTCATGGTCAAGCTGGAAAAAGGTCAGTCTAGGGAGCTGGACCTGAAGTTTTCTAGAAACATTTGTTAAAAGTACTTCAGCGTATAGTTTCAATAAAATCACACATGCGCAAGAAACTATAAATAAATATATTCGTGGGGACTGTCCACACCAGTGCTTCAGAAAGTTACGCCTGTGCTCTGATCCCTCCCACTGCATTGGCCATGGAGGTCACCTGGGGGGGGTTAATGGTCATTAGGGTGTTCTGATGGGTCATTAACTCCCTGGTCAGAGTGGTTTCAGCAAAGTAGGTGAAAGGTTATGTCTAAGACCACCTGCTCTGTTGAGAGATGGTTTTTTTTCAGGATACCAAAAATGGCTTCCTTAACCCCTGTCTCAAACAATCTTTCTTCCTTTGCAAGACTATGGATGTTGTCGTCCTCAAACAAGTGTCCTTTAGCCTTCAGGTGTAGGTGAACTGTAGGTCTAGTCTAGACAGGCTCAAATCTATAAAAGCATTCGAGTAATATTAGGTTAAATTGGTAAAATCCATTTAAAGATCTAATTTATGGTATTTAACTGAATTCAATTAAATAATACTTTCAGGGT